ACATGGTAAAAGGCCAATCACAGCGGCCTTTTACCACGTGATCAGCTGTGTCTAATGACACAGCAGATCACCAGTAAATGCAGTTTCTGGTTATCGGCTGCACTTTCCTCACGCTGTCACAGCGTGAGGAAAGTACTGCCGATAACCGGGAATTGTCAGAGGACGGATCGGCACCGATCATCAGGGAACTGATGATCAGTGCCACTCATCAGTGCCGCCAACCAGTGCCCATCATTGATGCCTATCAGTGCAGCCTCATCAATGCACATCAGTGAAGTAGAAAAATTACCTGTTTGCTAAATTTTATAATAGAAACAAAGAGTCTTTTTTTTTAAATTTTTGCTTTTTTTTTTTTTTATAGCACAAAAAAATAAAACCCCCAGAGTCGATTAAATACCACCAAAAGAAAGCTCTATTTGTGTGAAAAAAAGATACAAATTTCATATGGATACAGTGTTGCATGACCGCACAATTGTCATTCAAAGTGTGACAGTGCTGGAAGCTGAAAATTGGCCTGGGCAGGAAGGGGGTATAAGTGCCCAGTAGGCAAGTGGTTAATTAAGGGCTAGATTTTACAATCCTTGGGCCAATGGAATGGAAATGCTGTTTAGTCTCTTGCACTTGTCTGGCCACTGTACGTGTGGAAGTGCAGACATGATCCTAAAACCCTCAGGTGTGTCTGTTGTGCAGAACTTTCTCTCTCAGCTCAGGAAGAGATGGATGTACTTGGTGTCTTCAGTTTGGGTGGTCTTTTCCCAGCACTGCTAATTCTCAAAATAAGAAAAGCTGTATTGTGCATGTAAACCGGTTAGAACTAGCTAGTTAGGTTCTGCCTCAGATGGGAGGGCTGGGGTTAACTTAGTTCTTGGGTTTTTCATTTGGCAGGATCTTTTGGGTCCAAACCACTGCTTCTGTGAATATAAAAAGAGACAGTGATCTGGAGCCAGAGAGGCCCTGGTGAATGAAGGAGGTTCCCCTGAAGGAGTTCGGAGCCCTGCGACTGATCCATCAGCCGTGTTCCGTGGAGAGTATGGCCACCTAAGCACCTGAAAGATGTGAGAGCCATCCGACCTGGGGTTTGCCCCAAAGATACAAGCCACTGGAGAATGCCACTTATTGACCTTTATTCACAAGGACTCTACCTTTGCAGTTACCCCGGGACAGCATACAGCCTGATTAGGAGTAGGGATTTAGGGAAAATTACGATTTTATTGAATTTCTGTTGGACTGTCCTGTCTGCTTTTGGGCTCTTTTTGTACGGTGCATGATTTTATACAATAAAATGTTTAAATGTTAACTTTTGCCTGATCTGAAGTCCTTGAAAGGAGTGTATTGCAAGTAACCAGCATGGTTTCACACAAAGTGTACAGCTTGAGTCAATAGCACATGGGGTATGAATAGTCAGCATGTTAAGAATCATCCTTGTGCAAGTTATACATGTGGTTGCCATGGGCAACAAAGGTACAGTCAGCAAGCAGCCTGTCGATTAGCATGTACCTGTTACACCTGGTGGAATTGCCTCTAGCAGGGAAGGAAATGTTGTTGGCACTTCCTACACTGCATTCCATTTCCCTTAGTAAACTGAGTGGAACTGCATTGCAGAGGTCTCCATTCTGTACAGGGGTATTGAGGTTCGAAGAGTTAAAGTTAAAGCGGAGCTCCACCCAAAAGGGCAAGTTCCGCTTTAAGCCTTTGTCCCCCGCTCCCCATTAATTAGTGGCACCTTTGGGGGGGTACCCGAATTTGACAGGTACCTGCTCCCACTTCCGCTGCGATCACCTAGGCGATCAGAAGCGGAAGTTGTCCTCCCCCTCCCCTTAGTCTTTTGGGACATGTGATAGGTCCCAGGAGACTACGGGACCATTCACAAGCGCAGTGCTTCTCGCACATGCGCAGTTGGCACCCGGCTGTGAAGCCGCAAGCTGTTACAGCCAAGTGCCCACACTGAAGATTCCAGCGCCAGGGAGAGAAGATGGCCGGTGAAACCTGCAGTGGTGAAGACACCACTGGACCGAGGGACAGGTAAGTGGTTGTATTTTAAAAGTCAGCAGCTACAGCTTTTGTAGCTGCTGACTTATATTTTTTTTTTAGGTGGAACTCCGCGCTTTAAGTGCATGATTTAGCCAACACTATGTGTATGGTGGGGTTCCATGCTTCTGCCGGGATCGATAGTGGGAAAATGCTGGGCAGGTGGCTGTGGCCAGTGTTTGGCATGGCCTGCCTAATTGCAAGCTACAATGGAAAGATGTACATTTACACGGGGACCCAAGAGTTAACTGGAGAACAGTTGTTATGCCAAAGTACATGGTGTACGTTCATTTCCAAGAGTAGAGGTCTGCCTTAAGGTTGAGTATTTTTCCACAGCAGCCACAGCCTTGTCCCAGTGTGTTGATGAAATGGCACAAAAGTAAAGGTACCCTATGTGTAGGAGATTCAACCTTAGGTGCCTAGTGTAGCCCAGAAGAACCCATCTCAGGGGTAGTCCTCTTATATGATCCAGACTTGGCTCCCCTCAAGTTAATTGGAGGAAGGCCTGCCATCACTCGCCTACTACACCCCTACATATGCAGGATCCCAATATGTACTAAATGCTGAGTATAATTCTCAGTGCCTGTTACTATTCCTGCAAGGGCACAATGGTAATTTTGGTCACTGTTGGTAACTGCATATTCAGTATGTGTATAGAGGTGCACCATTTTATTCCCAGCACAAAGGCAAATTTCACAGTGCCATTTTAGATTTATTCCTTATGATGAAAATGGGTCTTTACATCTTTTATATATTGAATAATTTTTTATCTGCAAGAATGTTTGTTTGTTTTTCAACTTCAGAGAAGTGGCAACTGTGTTCTGCAAGATTCCTTTTCAGTTGTCTCCTGCAGAGCCTGGTTTTAGACTTAAACCAGGGAATTAACTAAGCGTCCCATGCATCACAGTTTGACACTTCTGGATGAGTAAGTCTGATGCCTGCTCCCAGTTTCTGAGCACCAGGCAGGGAGATTTTCAAGTCTCAACTTTGTATGGTGATTCAAGTCTCTTCATAAGCAGATAGACCTGTTTCATTTATTATGTTTAGAAGAGTGGTGCAAGCACATTGCTTTTTTCTTTAATTCCCCCCATAGTGAAAACTCTCTTTAGATTTGGATTGAGTGGGGAAGGATTAAAACCCCTGCCAGTTTATTTGCTGTTTCTTGCATATTTTGTACTTTAGGTCTAAGTCGATCAGAAATTCATCAGTGGCAGATGTAGTTAAGCAATTACTTTTTCTCTGTGGGTATATGGTTATTGTAAAGATCCTTCAGCTGAAGTGGAAGGTTTGGTTTGATAGTTTTGGTGTGCAGTACAAAGACACACAGTAAACCTATGGCTAGCATAGACGATTGGCAAAAACTAGGATGTAAAGCCCATTGTGCATGATTAGAAAATCGTACAAAAAATACCACTCTCAAAGCGATTATGCGACAATCTGATCGTTGGTGCACAGCTTTTGTCCAAAATTATTCAAAGGGACAAGCATGAAAATGTTTCTCGTATGATACCAGATCGTGTGATTTTCGTTTAATCAGTACAGTATTCATCCAAAAATACAATACAAATACATTACATCACTTTTGAATTTTTAATATGTCATAATAGAAATTTTGTAACTTTAGTAACCTCTTCACTTTCTATATGAGACTAGCATAAAAACAAACAATGGATGATCATTCGTCCGATACTCTCATCGTGTTTGGGGCTTTAGTGTGGGAACAGCTTACAAACTCTGACCAGTTTCTCAACAAGTTACCAGCAGAGCTAGTATGAACCTAAGTGATGTGAGTTGAAGAAAGGCCAACTGCAGTATATTCCTGCAACTGGCCTGTGTATTTTTACATTTGTAATGCAAGACAAGTTATGTAATATCTTTAGACAGACCTCATTTAGAATATGGTGTTTCAGTTCTGGAGACCTCCTCATCAAAAAGATATTGATGAGATAGAACAAGTCCAGAGACCAGCAACAAAAATGGTCAAAGGTCTGGGGATAAAACATATCAGGAAAGACTTCGGGAATTTATTATGTACAGTTCGGAGGAAAGAAGAGAAAGGTGAGACATGATTGAAACCTTTAAGTACATTAAAGGTGTGAATAAGGTTCAGGAGAGTCCAGGTTGGAATAGACTTCCAGCAGAGGTAGTGAGTCAGTCGAGAGTAAGGCTCCATGTACAGGGAACACTTCTGAACGATGGAAACTGACTGCTGGAAAATGTAGGTTAAAAAACATCAGTTTAGCCGCATTTGCATAACTCGTTTATGAGCGTTTGTGTTTAGAAACTTTTTTTAAAGATAACCTCAGGAGACCTTCCAAAATGCCTAGAATGCACTGAAAAACAGTAAAAAATAACTATTTCAGACAGTGTGGGAGGAATAGAGAGCACAGAAGCAGAGAGAGCAGTATTTGTTGAAATTAGCTGTCTTTTTTTTTTTTTTGTGGTGTTTGGATGTGTTCCAGCTCATTTCTGTGCAGAAATTATTGCAGCAGTGTCTAACATATTATCTTTCATGCGTAACCTCAAAGAACGGTGTACCAGGTCCATTTGAGTACTGGGAAAATGCTTTGCATGCAGTTTTCATTATGAAAAAAGGCTCTGGACAGCATCTGGAAATGAAAGAGTTAAAAAAAATTTCCAAATGCTTAAAAACACAGTTAGCCGCGTTTACAAGCGTTTGGCATTTGAAACTCCTGAACACAAGTTTGGTGCATTAAAAAAAACGACTGTGAACTCAACTAACTGTAAATGACTGTAAACAACATAGTGTACATGGACACATAGGAAAACATTAGGGAGAGTTCAGGGGCTGCTGAAAAAAATGCAGAAAAGCTCCTAAATGTGAGTTTATCAGCTGCAGTGTACATGGAGCCTAAGTGGATGCACACATGCTTGAAAGATCAATACTCAAGCAAAAAAAAAAAAAAAAAAGTTTTCTGTATTAAAATATATGTATATTTTTTTTACTTTCTAGACTTATCTTATGAAATATGGCTATCTTAAAGAAGAACAAAGAGAATATAATGCAGCAAAGTTTGGAGTGGCAGTAAGGTAATGAAAGATTTGATCGTATGCATAGATCCTTCATATTGATCTCATTTAAAGGCTAAATCAAGTTATATGGAAATCAGGTCTCTGTCCTTCATCTGGTTACCGCTGACTTTAGACTACATTCACATAGCAGTTTAGTAGCAGCCAGGGATGGCCACCGTCAAATATCAGATTCTTGCCAAAACACTGCCTGCACACACTATGTACAACCAGTAGTAGCTGTCAGATTTGTATCCTGTACAAATCAATGGCAGGCACCCCTGCTCATCTGAGCCATTACATGCAAATAGAGCCTTTAACTGACCCTGGACACAGACAGTGCACCTCTAGGGTTGACATTTCTGCAGAGTTTTGGCCGCACACAAACTGATCACAAAGAATTGGCTATTTTGTGTGTTTCCAGAGGCAGCGTATAGCCACCTCCTGAATGCAGAAAACTGCTGCTAAACTGCCATTTGAATGTAGCCGTAAAGAGTTTAATTATTAGAAGGCTTACAGCTTTTATCTCTTACCACCTAAAATTCTGTTTCCTCATCTGTTCTCCAGCTGGACGTTTCTTAGTCAATGACAGCTTTGAGTATATACATCAGGTTAAAAGTCACTTGAACATACAATAAACAACTACATTCAATATTTTGCAACATAGAAAAGCAGTATGACTTTAAAATCTTATATACAGATTCTGTTTTCCTTAAAGGATAAGTTCACCTTTTCTTGTGGGTGGCCCTCAAGGCCATGTTCTTTTCAAATAGTGACAGCGGGTGTGGGGAGAAGATCCCCAGCCCACTGTCACAAGGAGGGGGGAAGAATCAGGGAGTGGCTGCAAGTGCAGGAACATGTTACATGTTCCACCCCTTTTAAAGGATAAGTTCACCTTTTAGACAAAAATTTTGTTTGCAGGTAAAAAATGTGCATTTATTATTTTTTGTCTACAGGAGCCTGGACAGCATTGCACCAGCGATCAGCAAACCACTGGTGCCATGCAGGTCTTCTGCAGACCTGTCAGAATATCTGCTTGCTGTGTGGGATGTACAAGCAAGCAGATATTCTAACAGGACGCTTCAATGAACTAATGTGGCGCTGTACAGCGCCGTGGTAGTTCATTGAAAACTACAAGTTAACATCTGCTAAGGCTGTCGGGACTCGTAGTTCGTTCATTCATTCACGGTAGTCCGTGAATGAATGATGCAGCCGTGTGGGCAGAGCCCTGCACGGCTGCACTGTTTTAAAATTTGACAGACAGTACGGGGAGAAGTCTCCCCTTACTATCTGTCAGAGGGAGGGGGGGGGGGGGGCAGCGGGTGGCGGCTATGGGTATGTTACATGTTCCACCCTAAAAAGAGGTGGAACATGCAACATGTTCCCAAAGGTGAATTTATTCTTTAAATTCTAGGTACCAATAAAATTCAGAAACACTTATAAATATAATTGTGTGCATCAAAATTATATAATGCATATACAGTATGTATGTTCCTTAATCTTTTATACATTTATTCATACATGTTATTTGATATGCCTACAGTGCCTTGAAAAACTATTCATACCCCTTGAAATTGTCCACATTTTGTTATGTTATAACCAAAAACGTAAATGTATGTTGTTGGGATTTTATGTGATAGACCAACACAAAGTGGCACATAAAATTGTGAAGTGGAAGGAAAATGATGATAAATGGTTTTCAAAATTTTTCACAAATAAATATCTGAAAAGTGTGGCATGCATTTGTATTCAGCCCCCCCCCCCGAGTCAGTACCACCTTTCACTGCAATTACAGCTGCAAGTCTTTTTGGGGATGTCTCTACCAGCTTTGCACATCTAAACAGTGACATTTTTGCCCATTCTTCTTTGCAAAATAGCTCAAGCTCTGTCAGATTGGATGGAGAGAGTCTGTGAACAGCAATTTTCAAGTCTTGCCACAGATTCTCAATTGGATGTAGGTCTGGACTTTCACTGGGCCATTCTAACACATGAATATGCTTTGATCTAAACCATTTCATTGTAGATCTGGCTGTATGTTTAGGGTCATTGTCCTGCTGGAAGGTGAACCCCCCCCCTGCCCCAATCTCAAGTCTTTTGCAGACTCTAACAGGTTTTCTTCTAAGATTGCCCTGTATTTGGCTCCATCCATTTTCCCATCAACTCTTGCCAACTTCCCTGTCCCTGCTGAAAAAAAGCATCCCCACAACAAGATGCTGCCACCACCATGTTTCACGGTGGGGATGGTGTGTTCAGGGTGATGTGCAGTGTTAGCTTTCCGCCACACATAACATTTGCTTTTAGGCCAAAAAGTTAAACTTTGGTCTCATCTGACCAGAGCACCTTCTTCCACATGTTTGCTGTGTCCCACACATGGCTTCTCGCAATCTGCAAACAGGACTTCTTATCGCTTTCTTTCAACAATGGCTTTCGTTTTGCCGCTCTTCCATAAAGGCCAGATTTGTGGAGTGCACGACTAATAGTTGTCCTGTGGACAGATTCTCCCACCTGAGCTGTGGATCTCTGCAGCTCTTCCAGAGTTACCATGGGCCTCTTGGCTGGTTCTCTATTTAAAGCTCTCCTTGTCAGCTTAGGTGGTCGGCCATGTCTTGGTAGGCTTGAAGTTGTGCCATACTCTTTCCATTTTGAGATGATGGATTGAACAGTGCTCCGTGAGATGTTCAGTGCTTGAGATTTTTTTTATAACCTAAACCTGCTTTAAACTTCTCCAAAACTGTATCCCTGACCTGTCTGGTGTGTTCCTTGGCGTTCATGATGCTGTTTGTTCACTAATGTTCTTTAACACACCTCTGAGGGCTCCACAGAACAGTTGCATTTATACTGAGATTAAATTACACACAGGTAGACTCTATTTACTAATTAGGTGACTTCTGAAGGCAATTGGTTCCACTAGATTTTAGTTAGAGGTATCAGAGTAAAGGGGGCTGAACACAAATGCACGCCACACTTTTCAGATATGTATTTTTGTAAAACATTTTGAAAACCATTTATCATTTTCCTTCCACTTCACAACTTTATGTGCCACTTTGTGTTGGTCTATCGCATAAAATCCCAATAAAATACATTTACGTTTTTGGTTGTAACATGACAAAATGTGGAAAATTTCAAGGGGTATGAATACTTTTTCAAGGCACTGTACATAAAACTACATGTAACTCATGTTTTAGTGTCCTTTTTTTATTTATATTGTTCTGATTTTACTTTCCTTTTTTTTAAGTTAATTTTTAATCTGTGAAAGTGATTGCATTCCTTTTGCCAAACCTGCTGAACGAATAGATATTAGCTAGTACATATCTGCTCAGATGAGCCTTATGTCCTGTATTAGAAGCTTCAGCTTTGCCTAATACCTTCAATGTTCCCCTGCATATATAACAAATCTGTTAACTTTGTTATTTTATTATCCTACCTGCTTTTGTTCTAGAGATAGTATCATCAGCCTGCTATTTAATGTTTGAAATGTTATAGATTAAAGCCCTGTGCGAAGTTCTGCAAAAAGGATGAGGTCACAGAGGGGTAGTATATCAGTCAGGGTAGAAAATCAACCACGTTTGTTACATTCCCTGATGATACACTGTACAGGCCTGGTGCAGACCAGGAGATAGTAAAGAGAGTTCTGCAAGAAGTTGGTAGTAAAGTCATAAGCAGAAGCCATCTTTAGTGAGGGCAGTGCTTATTTAAGGCAGATTGTGAAAGACTCTGAAGAAGATCTGGAGGTGAGTGTGTCAAGGTCCTACCTTTTCCCAGAGGTTATGCAGCTCCATGTGCTGGCATCCATCTTGGATTTCTGGAGAGCATGGTGGGAGTCTTTTATGCCTTCAGGTCTATGCGGTCCATCCCTTAGAGGGGTGTGGTTGATCACATAAAAGCCTGTTGTCCGCACATGCCCTTTGCATTCGTGTCTTGTGTGTTAGTGTGACTATAGCTCTGTTTATACTCTCGTGGCTCTCCTGGAATCTGACTCGGCTTTTGACTGACCATTCTCTGCATTTTCCATTGATCTGACCTTCCGTTGCTGAACCCGGCCTGTGACCTGTTATTCTTGTCTACCGTTCTGTACCGTTTGTCCCGTTGTTATCGACCCGGCCTGCCAGACTACTCTTTGTCTATCTGGTCCCTACCAGCTACACGCCATTGGCGGCGGCCATTACCGCAGCTGGGGTGTCTCGGGGGCCGCGACCTGGTTCCTTGCTGCGTCAAGTCCATCCCCATCAGGGGCCCTGGTGAAGGGCAGCCTGGGACTTAGACTCCACGCCCTGAGGGACTCCGGTCTGTGGGCGGTGGTTGTCGTCAGTCAGTGCGTGACCCTGCCCTGACAGAGTGTTAAAGAAGGTGAAAAAGGTGCTAGAGAGCAGAAGATATTGGGAGGAGCAAAGAACACTTTGTTTGGTATTTTGAGACAAAGTTGGTGATAAAGATGGGGCAGAGTTTTGAAGGTGATTTTTAGTATTTTGAATTTTATTATTTGGATGATTGGAAGCCAATGGAGTAATTGGTAGAGAGGGGTAGCAGACACTGAAGGTTGGTAAGGTGGATAGGTCTGGCAACACTATTGGAATATAATGGACTGAAGGAGGGATAGCCTATGTAAAAATACGCCAATGAGGAGGAAGTTGCAAAAGTGAGCTGAGAGATAACCAGGGAGTGAATTAGTAGTCTTGTGATGGTGTTGGTTAAAAAAGGGGTAGTATTTTGGAGATTTTACAGAAGTTGAGGCAGCAATAGATGGACAGTGATTGGATAGATTGTTTGTTTGAGAAAGTGTTGTGACATACATACTGCTTTGTCCATTGTGAGGAGACTGATGGGGTGAACTGGGAGGTGAAAAGATAGATCTGGGTGTTGTCAGCATAGAAATGGTGTTGGAAGCCATGGAAGGCTATCAGCTGACCCAGGAAGGAAATGTAGATTGAAAATAGAAGAGGTCAGGGGATGGAACTTTGGGAGACTCTGTCGGAAAGAGGAGAAGGTAGAGTTGTGACACTGAAGGTGTGGTGAGATAGGTG